CTAACACTAAAAGAGGTAATAGAACACACAAGTTGAAGTTTGTCTGACACAGTAAAATGCAAAGAAATATCTTCTGTGGTAGTCAACATTAAAGCCACATGCTGTTTTGGAAATGTTTATTCAATAGGTTGAGATATGCCAACCAAGGTAATAAAGCATGTGCCATTCTTTTCCACCCCTCAGCTCAGAATCAAAATGGTAGATGACATTAAACTGAAGAAGGCAAGTGATGTTGGGTTCATCTCGGGTAAAATCCCTCCATTGCAGATTTCTATTGCTAATCAAGAAGCAGAATTTGAGGGGTGTGAGGGAACAGTGCCAATGGCTCACACCATCAATCCAGAAGGATGTTTGGTGGTCAGATACAGCAGGTGCTGAAATTTGAATTCAGTTAATTGCTGGAATTAAGGATCTAATGGTTATGAAACCCTTATTGATTGTCGAAAAAGCTGATCTAATTCATTCATGTCCTTCATGGAAGGAAATCTGCCATGCTTGTGTGGTCTGGCCTACATGGAGTTTGGGATGTCATGTTACAGCTGTCGAAGACATTGGTGAGGTTACTTTTAGAATACTTTGTACAATTCTGGTCGCCTTTCTATAGGAAAGATGTTGTTAAACTTGAAAGAGTAAAGAAAAGATTTACAAGGATGATGCCAGAACTGGAAGGTTTGAATTATAAGGAGTGGTTGAATAAGCTGGGGCTTTTTTCCCCTGGAGTGTCGGGGATGACTGTAAAGGTTTACAAAGTCATGATGGGTGTGGACAGGGTGAATAGCCAAGGCCTTTTTCCTCAGTTGGGGGAGTCCAAAACTAGAGGTCATAGGGTTAAGATGAGGGGGCAAAGATTTAAAAGGGACCTGAGGAGTAACGTTTACACGCAGCGGATGGTGCGTGTATGGAATGAGCTGCCAAAGGAAGTGATGGAGGCAGGTACAATCACAACATTTAAAAGGCATCTGGATGGGTATATGAATAGGAAGGGTTTAGAGGGATATGGACCAATTGTTGACAAATGGGACTAGGTCAGATTGGGATGTCTGGTCAGCGTGGACAAGTTGGAATGAAGGGTCTGTGTCCATGCTGTATAACTCTATTACAATGGGGTGACTCTCAACTGCCTTCTAAAGTGGCCTAGCAATTCACTCAGTTGCATGAATTACTACAAAGTCCCCAAAAGAAACAAAAGTGGATTAAACCATCTGGCGTCAACCTTAGCACCAGAAACAACAATGACAAAAAAGGCTTTGTTGACCCTGCAACGTCCTCCTTACTAACATCTGGGGTTATTGGGAGAGCTGTCTCAAACCTGTCCAGCAATAGCCTGACAACGTCTCGGACACAACCCTCCCTGGATAAGTCCTGCCCCACCAGCAGGACAGGCCTTTCAGAGATGGTATTAGAGTAGTAGACAGGAGAGAGTTGCCCTCGGAGTTCTCAACATTGACTTCAAACCCTGTGAAGTCTCATGGCATCACTTCAAACATGGGAAAGGAAATTTCCTGCTGGTTACCACGTCTCACCCTCCCTCAGCAGATGACTGTGCTCCTCCATGTTGAACACCGCTTGGAGAAAACAGAGGGTGGCAAGGGCACAGAATGTGCTGTGGTTAGGGGTTTTCATTGTCTACCACTAACAGTGGCTCAGCAGCAGCATTACTGAGTCAGGTTCTAAAGGGCATAGCTGCGAGAGGGTCTGCAGCAAGTGGTAAAGGGAAAAACGTACTTGAACTCACCAAAACTCGACTCGTCCTGCTGAGTTTCTCCAGTACTTTATTTCAAATATGCAGCATTTTGCTTTTATGAAACAATTAAAGCAGTGTTTGTAAAGCGTTGACAGATTTGAATAATTTTTCAAGGTCCTGTTTTGTTGTAAATACTGACTTTATTCTGTATGACCCGCACTAAATGCTTTCAATGCTGAATTGTTGAGGTCACTTTTTTGTGATTTGATACAAATGCTTTGGTTCACAGACTTGGTAAAAATGGAAGGTAGGTGAAGGAGACCTAATGGCTCTCCACACTTGAAATTTAATAATTCCATCCATTTAAAGTAGGTTGAAGCATCTGCATTTCACAGATCATTAAAAAGTGTTATAATTTTCCAGCTCCTGTCACTGCACTGGTTTTTCTGCATTGTGCTATGATGTGTTCATGATGCGCAATTCCAAAAATTTTTCCGTTCATCATCATCTCATCCGTTCTCATTGTTGAAATACTGAATGATTTCCTTTAACTTAATCCAGGGCAAACAGCAAAAGAAAAGCCGTTGCTATCCCCCAATGAACCGGGAGCATCGCAGAATCATTCATGAGCTGGCTGAAGTCTATGGTGTTGAAAGTGTCAGTTATGACAGTGAGCCCAAGCGCAATGTTGTTATCACTGCTGTGAAGTAAGTATTGACAATGCTACAGGTCTCGACCCTTTTTCTTTTCCACCGTCCTGACACACACACACTGGCTTAGTTTTCTGTTCACATTTGCCTATCGCATGGGAACAGTGGAAAAGTTATTTATCTTTCCTTTCAATGGCAAGTAAATTCTATGTGAAATTAGTTTTAACAATTTGGGCCCTACTGGGAAAAGGCCCACAAACCTTCCCTACCTTATCAGTGGTTGGCAGTTTCAAAGACCACAGGAAGCTGTCAGAATGGAAAAATATTATGTAATTATAGAAGGCAGTCTTCTAAATTCAGCGCTGAGAAACGTTCTTAAAGACCATTTGACACAGGAGAAGTGGGTCATTCAGACTTTCGAGTGCGCTGTTCCATTCATGGAGACCATGGCTGATTTTTATAATCCTCAGCTCCACTTTCCTGCCGTCGCTCCTTAATCCTTGATTCCTTTACTTATTAAAAATCTATTTCATCCAAGCCTTGAATATGCTTAATGCCCTGGCCTCCACAGCCCACTACATAGTCAGTCATTCTACAGATTCACCTATCTTCTAAGAGAAGACATTCCAACACAGCTCTGTCTCCAGTAGCAATCCTTTACTCTGAGGTAAAAACCGAATGCTGTAAATCAAACGAAAATAGAATTTGCTGGAAAAGTTCAGGAGGTCTGGCAGCATGTGTGAAGAGAAATCAATTCTGAGGAAGGGTCACTGGACCAGAAATGTTGAATCTGATTTTTCTTCACAGATGCTGCCAGACCTCCTGAGCTTTTCCAGAAAATTCTGTTTTTGTTTCACTCTGAGGTTATGCCCACCGGTCATAACCACTTTGACAAGAGGAAACAACTTTTCTCCATCTATCCTGTCAAGGTCCTTAAGAATCTTAAACAAGAACAAAGAACTGCAGATGCTGAAATTTGAAACTAAAACAATTACTGGAGAAACTCAGCAGGTTTGGCGGTATGCATGGAAAGAAAGCAGAGTCATTGTTTTTTGTCCAGTAAACCACCTTCAGAACTGATTGCCACCTTTGCCTAGCTGCATAAATGCTGAAGGAGGTGGGTGCTAGGAAAAGGAGTAAACAAAAAAGGGTGGAAATGGAGCCCAGCAAGAGCCATTAGCAGTTGGGATGGGGAATCGGGGAGAAAGAAAAGTGATAATCGGCACTGTCAGTAGTTGAAAATGGGCAGCTGTAATGAAAGTAGCCCATGAGGTGACAAGGCCTGGGGGTGGGTAAAGGACATAGAAGGAGGTATTCGGGCCCTAAAATAATTGAACTCCGTATTGACTCCCAAATCTTGCAGTGTCCCCAATTGGAAAGTGAGTTGCTGTTCTTCCAGCTTGCGCTGAGCCTCGCTGGAGCACTGTAGCAAGCCTGAGACAGAAATTATGGCTACAGAACACAGTAGTGTATTGAAGTAGCAGGTAACTGAAACTCGGGGTCATTTTTGTGAACAGAATGTAGTTTTCATCTCCTCCTCCAATGGAGAGGAAACCACTCTGACCAATCTGTATAGTAGACTAGATTAAGGGGCAGGTAAATCACTACATCATCTGGGAGCTGTCTGGGGCCTTGGACAGTGAAGAGGGAAGAAGTATTTGGGTAGGTGTTACACCTACTGCTCTTGCATAGCAAGGTGCTGTGGGGTGTTGGGAGTGAAGGAGGAGCAGAGCAGCGTGTCTCAGATGAAACCTATTCCCCCACCCTCGCCCCATCTTCATTGTATATAACCTTTTCCTAGCTACAGTGAGTTCTGAAGAAGGGTCATTGGACCTGAAATATTAACTGTTTTCCTTCCACAGATGCTGAGACCTGCTGAACTTCTCTGGCAATTTTTGTTTTGTTCCTTAAAACTCTTGTCTGTTTCATAAGATTGCCCCTCATTCTTCTAAATTCCAACAAGTACAGGCCCAATGTACTCCATTTTTACTCCTAAGATAGTCCATCTATACCTGGGATCAGCCTCATGAACCTTCTCAGGACTGCCTCCAATGCTAGTGTACCTTTCCTTGGATAAGGGGCCCAAAACTGTTCACAGTATTCCAACTGTGCTCCGACTACTGCCTAGTATAATTTTAGCAGAACCTCCTTATTTTGTGCCCCATACCCTTTGAAATAAAGGCTGACATTCTATTTATCTTCCCTATTCCCTATTATCCTCGCCACTTGCTTTCCAGCTATTTTTTGTCATCCACTTTCCTCACCCAAGTCCATAACATATTTTGTAAATATGTGGCCTCTGAACTGATCTTTGTGACGGTTTTAGGTTGCTGATCTGAAAAATGCCCCTTTGTCAGTTAGCCAGTCCTCCATCCATGCCAGTATACTACCTCCAGCACGATGACCTTATGTCATCAAGTAGTGTAATGTGTGGTATCTTTATTAAATGACTTATAAAAATCCAAATGTATTATATCCACTGCTTTCCCTTTACCTATCCTGCTTGTTACCACCTCAGAATTCTGAAACTTGGCAGCATGATTTTCCCCTTCATGAAGCCATGCTGAATCTGTTTAATCATACTATGTATTTGTAAATGCTGTGCTATTAAATCATTTATAATAGGCTGTAACGCTTTGCCAATCTTCTGGAATTTTTTTCTAGAATCTAAGGAATCATGGACGATAATTACCAGTGCATCTCTGTAGCTATCTCCTCTGTAATATCCATCAAGTTCGGGGACCTAATTGTAGTTATTGTGCTTATTTTGTCTACTCCTTTTGCCCCTTGATTATTTGGTGATTTTAAAATGCTGTTAATGATTTCTACTGTTAAAACTGATGCGAAGTATTTATTATATTCTTCTGTCATTTCTTAGTTCCTTATTATTACTTCTCCATCCTTGGGCCCCTTTAGAGAATGTGTTCACTTTATGGCTTTTCTCTTCCTTTACGCATTTGCAAGTTTACCTCCAGTTTTATTTTCTTCCTCTTCATTTTGGTCGTCTTTTGGTTTTTAAAACTTCCCCCAGTCCTCTGGCTTACCACTAATCTTTGTCTCATTGTATGTTTGATTTTAGTTCAATTTGATGCTGTCCTTAATCTTCACAGTTAACCATGGTTAGTTTGTATATAGTGTATCCCCTTCCAAGAATCCTCCTTCCTTACTGGAATATTTCTTTACTGTGAGCTACTATCTATCTTCTTTAAATCTCTGCTATTTTTCCTCAACAGTCTTTGCTGCTAAACCCCTTGCACAGTCTACTCACTCTAGCTCTGCCCCTTTTGCTTTCTAATTATCTTTATTTAAGCTTAGTACGGTTGTTTCTAACCCAAGTTCCTCCCCCTCAAACTGCCAATTCTGCCACATTATGATCACTGCTTCTTAGGGGATCTTTTCTCTCAGATCATATTATGTTAAACTTACCTCATTATACATCACCAAAATAGCCTATTCCCTGATTGGATCCACAACATCTTTTTCTAGGAAACTGTCACGAATACATCTAATAATTGAATCAGAGATAGTAGGAACTGCAGATGCTGGAGAATCCGAGACAACAAGGTGCAGAGCTGGATGAACACAGCAAGCCGAGCAGAAAGGCTGACGTTTCGGGCCTAGACCCTTCTTCAGAAATGGGGGAGGGGAAGGGTTATCTGAAATAAATAGGGAGAGGGGGAGGCAGGGAGAAGATAGGTGGAGAGGAAACAGACAGGTCGTAGAGGCGGGGATGGAGCCAGTAAAGTTGTGTAGGTGGGGAGTTAGGGAGGGGATAGGTCAGTCCAGGGAGGACGGACAGGTCAAGGGGGTGGGATGAGGTTAGTAGGTAGGAGATGGGGGTGCGGCTTGAGGTGGGAGGGGGGGATAGGTGGGAGGAAGAACAGGTTAGGGAGGCGGGGATGAGCTGGGCTAGTTTTGGGATGCGGTGGGGGGAGGGGAGATTTTGAAGCTTGTGAAATCCACTTTGATACCGTTGGGCTGCAGGGTTCCCAAGCGGAATATAAGTTGCTGTTCCTGCAACCTTCGGGTGGCCTCGTTGTGGCACTGCAGGAGGCCCAGGATGGACATGTCGTCTGAGGAATGGGAGGGGGAGTTGAAACGGTTTGCGACTGGGAGGTGCAGTTGTTTATTGCGAACCGAGCGTAGGTGTTCTGCAAAGTGGTCCCTGAGCCTCCGCTTGGTTTCCCCGATATAGAGGAGGCCACAACAGGTACAGCGGATGCAGTGTACCACATTGGCAGATGTGCAGGTGAACATCTGCTTGATGTGGAAAGTCTTCTTGGGGCCTGGGATGGGGGTGAGGGAGGAGGTATGGGGGCAGGTGTAGCACTTCCTGCGGTTGCAGGGAGAAGTGCCGGGTGTGGTGGGGCTGGAGGGGAGTGTGGTGCGGACAAGGGAGTCATCCCACCCCCTTGACCTGTCCGTCCTCCCTGGACTGACCTATCCCCTCCCTAACTCCCCACCTACACACCTTTACTGGCTCCATCCCCGCCTCTACGACCTGTCTGTTTCCTCTCCACCTATCTTCTCCCTGCCTCCCCCTCTCTCCCTATTTATTTCAGATACCCCTTCCCCTCCCCCATTTCTGAAGAAGGGTCTAGGCCCGAAACGTCAGCTTTTCTGCTCCTATGATGCTGCTTGGCCTGCTGCGTTCATCCAGCTCTGCACCTTGTTGTCTTACATCTAATAATTCTTCTTTTATAGCTTTCTCTACTAATCTGACTATCCCAATCTATATGAAAATTAATGTTTGCCCATCATTTAATGAGGACGTGTAACAATAAGTAGCACATTATCTCCTGATCTATTCTCTGTCACACCATTGTTATTTTTAGGGGGCGTATGGATCTTCCTACCAGTGTCATTTTCTACTTTTTTTTTATTTCTTCTACCCATGTATCTCTGTTTCAAGATTATTTCTTGCTATTGAACTTAATCCATCCCATGTCAACAATGATACCATTTCTTCCTGCTTGTTCCTTTGAAAAGTCAAATATCCCTGAATACTTCCCAGTTTTCTTCATGTTATAACCATGCCTCTGTAGTATAAGATTATACCCATTAACTTTGTATTTGTACCATTACTCCATCTGTGTTGTTCCAAATACTGCGCACATTCAAGTAAAGAGCCATTAATTTTACCTTTTTTGCCATGTTTTACTCCTTCTGGCCTGTTTTGAGACCAGCTTGAATGTTCATTTATTTTATTGCTGTTGGGTAGACATTGCCGTCCACAACTCTGAGGGTTACAGTTGTGTACAGATCCCAATAACGCTAACGTAGTGTTTGACTAGATAACTAGACTTGATCTGAGGAGTTTGTTGAAAAACCAGGATAATTATAATGGGAAGCTTTAATTTTTGTATACTGGGAGAAGAGGTCCCAAATTTAAGTGGTAGGTTTAGTTTTAAAAGCACATGAAAGCATAGAAAAGGAGGGCATGCTGCTGGTTTCCAAGTTGAAGCAAATGACTCCTTTTCCATGTGGACCTTTTCTCTTTATGGGTGAAATTGTCAAAATAGACATTTATATCCGTGCTATTCACATAATATTACATTGGGTCTTTTAGTCTAGTAAACCATATGGAAGAGACTGCAGGTTTGTACCTGATTATATTTTATTGCCACAAAATAAATTTAATCCTGATTTTACATTGTTGCTTATCTCATTATTTTGGTAATTTGCTTTTCTTTGCAGGGGAAAATCTGTGTGTCCAAATGTTTCACTCACTTCATTGATTGAGAGAGAGATGGCAGCAAGACCACCCCCACCAATTGCACATTACAGACAACAAGCACTTAAGTAAGTACCATGAGGCACATCACCTAGCAATTGTGATTTCACAGTTGAATTCTTACATACATAACCTAACCAAATCTTTAACAAAGAGCACTCTTATCCATGTAAAATAATGGGCTAAATTTTCAAGAGAGCACAATGTCATGTAGCCTGTTACTCTGCCCATTTTTTTATGAAAGGGGAGAGCTCCACCATACTGACAGGAGGTTCTGAAAAGGCCCTCTTCAGAAATGTGGCACTGTACTTCCATTCTGACAGGTTCCTCACGGTGCAGAACTGTAGCAGAAGTCAAATACACAGCCACATTGACAACTGCTGCCAAACAGTCTGTCCCTGGGATAAATGTGAGGGTAGGGTGTAAGGGGACAAGCTCAGTGATGCAATATTTCATGTGGGTCACTGGGAGAAATTGGTTTGGGAGGTGACGGGGAGGGAGAGGGTGTAGCACATCGTGCCCAAGGTTTGGGGAGGGGGAAAGGACGGTTGCCTCCAAGTGGGGTCTGAAGATGGGTAAGGAGCAGGGTGGTGGAGGGTGGTGGATTCGTCTCCCAGGGGTAACGGACATTAAGGTCTGGTGCAGGGGGGAGTGGGGAATCGGTGAAGTTCAGGGATTCTGCTCCTGGAGGTGGTAGGATTGGGTGTGGAGTGGATAAGGGACTGTCGGGTCTGGCAACAGAAAATTGTGGGTGGGTGAGTGGAAAGCGTGTCAGGTCCAACAGTGGAGGTAGATTGGGTCAGGTCTGCAGCAGGAGGGAAAGGTGTATCTGGTCCCTAGATATAGACCATCAGCTCCTGGGGATTTGTCAGATTTTAGTTCATTAAATGTCTTCAGTACCTTGTCTCAAATATAATTGTCTTCATTTCTTCTTTTTGGCTCCCAGGAGTATAATTTGTGTCTTCTACTATGAAAGCAGATTAAAAACAATGTGGCATTTGCCTCTGCTATTTACTACTTATTTTGTGTAATTTCTCCTGTTTCTTCTAAGGAACCAACATTGGCTTGTCTTTTCCTTCTTATTAACTTGTAAAATCTCCTTTAGTCTGTTTTCATATTAGTGGCTTGTTTGCTCTAGCATATTTTTCATGTCAACTTTGTGAAACTTTGCAGTATGTTACTTTTAAACTTAACATGGAATTCAGTTGTATTGTGATCATTAGTTCCTAAAATCTTTTATTGTGAGGTTACTAATTAACCTTATTGCAAAGTAGATCTAAAATGACTTTATCCCTGTTTGGTTCAAATGTGCAGTATTGTCCAGGAATCTTGCACCGAGGCATTCTACAAACTAATCATGTGCCAATTTGATCACACTAGTCTATCTGAAGATTAAAGCCACACACAATTACTAATTTGCCTTTGTTATACATTTCAATAATGAATGAAAATATTGCGTAAGCTTTAGTGGTGGACAAAGGAGTTAAGGGTTAAAGCTTGATCCATTTAGTCAGCAAAAGGGAAGGTAGCTATTTATGCAGGAACTAACAAGTTAGACATCTAACAGTCAAGGTTAGTAGCTGTGTTGATAACAATGTTATCAAAGGCCTGAGGTGAGACAATGCCTTCAAAGGCTACAGCACGTCCCATATTATCTACATTTCAAAGTTTGGGAATCATCATTGTAGTTATAATGGTGCTGTAATCTGTGTAAATCTTGGAGTTGGCTTTGACCTATGTTAATGTTTCTCTCCAGTTGTGTGCATGAAATAAGCGGTTATGTTCTCCTGGACATCTCTACCAATTCGCAAAGTGGAATTAAGTTACATATTGCAGGAGGAAACCTAGCTTACAGATTTGTGATTACTGACAACTGGAAATGTACAAACTAAAATTTTCTATAATCTTACAGGATTGACAATGGAACAGTTGCCCTGCAAAAGCCGTTAAAGGAAGAACCAGTCATTGATTACTTTGATGTTCAGGACTAGAAGAAGAATAAATTTCAAATACGTTTGAAATTTAGATCACGCATCTGGGACAGTAAGTGGTTGAGAAATAACCTGATCAGTAGTGCACAAAAAGAATCACTGAAGATTTGTAAGGTGATACAATTGTGTTAGTCTATTAAGCTTCAATTCAATATGCGTAACAAAGTGAGCTGCTAGTCTCTGCTGTAAGAATACACTGTTGCATGAGACAAACCTAAGAAGAATGTAAACAAAATCTGTGGAATGAATTATGTAAACCATGCATTCCTATCAGCTGTTGTTGCTCCTGTTGACGGTGCTGAATGAAGGGTTAACATTGTTTTTCCCTTGGTTTTTTCTTTTGAAAGAAATCGACTTCAGCGTGATAATGTTAAAGGTGGCTGTGTAATAATTGCACTCGAAGATTAAATAAATTTCAACGAATATAATTTTGTCTCTTTTCAATGCACTGTGTGAGAGCCTTTGCAGAGATAGTGTTATAATCTCTTTTGGATTTGATTTTCCCCACTAAACCCAATCTCTGTCCCTTCCTGGAGCTTTTGAGATATGCTTGAGTACCATATTACGGAATGTAGCAGGTCTCTGATCACCAGGCTTTTCAGCTGTGGAAATGTGGTAAACTTCATCTATACCTAAAATTTTGTTTAGACATTTGAAGCGTGAGGAGCAACATAACCTAAGTGCTACAATTCTAAAAGCGATTATGGGACAGAGAGTGCAGGGTTCTGGTTTGCAATCAGTGATTTGCAGATTTTAGGTGGTTCGAATTATCCCCAGATCCCTGATTCTAGATTCTGAACTTAGTTAGGAATGTGAAATGAAGAAGGCAGTGGACAGATGTTTCAGGCCAGAAGAATCTCTGCATTTATTTACAATACAAAAGATAAGTACAATACAAGAAATACAGGTAAAAGGAATAAGCAGGGAAATTGACACTATCAGTTATACAGAGGACAGTAATTAAATACACTATTAAATTAAACACAGATTAAACACTGAACCTAAAAGAACAGGTTTTAATCACAAACCTATCGGGCTTCCTAACCCACCTTCCCCTCCCTGCTAGCTTTGTCAGAACTTTAGGCTCCTGGGATTTTCAGCTCACCACTGAGGAAAACACCGTTTTAAAATGCTTCCAGTTGCTGAGGTTCTTGCTGTCAGTTCCCTTGATTCGGAGCAGGCCTATATCTGAAAGCTCTTGTTTGGATAGTGCTTGGTTGCCACCCCCTCCTATGTCCTTTGTTGCGATGATGCCCTTGGTTTGGCTTCCTGATTCAGCTTTTCTGTTCGGCCTCTGTGGTTCTTGGTTCCGAAGCTGCTTTTTGGGGCTGAAAGCCTGTGGGGAAGCTATTTGTACAGAAGGTTTTTGCTGATAAAGCCCCCTCCCAGTTGTGATCGAGGCTGATACTGAGTTAAAAAAACACAAGTGCACATGCTGTAAATTAGGAACAAAAACAAGGTTGCTGGAAAGGCTCAGCAGGTCTGGCAGCGTCTGTGTTTTTCCCTTCGTAGATGCTGCCAGACCAGCTGAGCTTTTCCGGCAAACTTGTTTTTGTTCCTGACAGAGTGCCCTGTTATCTCCCCTCAAATCTGTACTGTCCATTGTGTTTCTGGTGTTCCGTTTTGAAATCAGTTGGCTTCCTGATAGTTCAACATGTGTAAATTAGACATTGATGTTAAATGTACAGTATCTCTCTGGATTTTGGCGTTGAATGTTCAGTGTCTGTCTGTGTAGGTGCCGAGCTGGCTAGCCTGGGGTGGTAAAAGTTAGTTCTGGGCTAGAGTGTTAAGTTGGCTTGACTGTTCTCTTAGCTTGGACGTGTAAATAGGAATTCTAGGCTGAACAATGGTTTCAGGCAGCCATCTGTGTTTGTGTATTTTTCCCAGAACTTAGCCCAGCTGTCCCCTTTGCTTTTTGAAGTTTTTGAAGTCCAAGGTCTTGTCCACTATTTTAGATGATGGGCATTTTTGCTCAATCCTACAGGAGACACTTGGGAATGCAGAGAGATGAATCTTTTCAGGTGGCAGAACAAATTGAGCTGTATTCTTTTAAAATGTGATCTGTATAAATACAGACAAAATGTGCAAAATAAAGCCAGCTACCTTTTACACCTCTAGAAGTCAATGATTTGACCTCTGCAAAAGTATTGTATCTAATTCTAGATACAATACTTGATGCCTAGGCCAAGAAGAGGTGTATTGGAGATGGACTTTAGCAAAATATTTTTTTTTTCTTAAACCCTTAGACTACTCCCCAGCACCCATATTGCATGTGTGTACATGCAGGACACCATGAGAAACACCAGTTGTGAAAATAACTTATTAATACTCCACCACCAGGAAAGCACTCGTGTGACAATTGGAACTAGTGACAAGCAGACCCCCATAGGGGTAATGCTTGCATGGAAGAAAGAGTGAAGGGGAGAGTAGGGATCAAATAAAAATAGTTTTGAGGGGAAATAAAGCACTCCACACCCCACGGTGCTGACCTCTCCCTAACGATACACTTTAGCAATATATCAGGAATGAACAATTTCAGTTATGTAAAGAGAAGATGTGATTGTTTGTGCTTCAGAGAAGGCATAGTGGTTTAATCCTCTAGAGGTTCTCCAACATGATTAATGCCCATGTTCAGCCAGTTTGATTCCACATGACATCGAAAAATGGTTAGAGGAACTGGACATTCCAGAAATAATACTGAAAACTTGTGCTCCAGAACTTGCTGCTCCACTTGCTAAGCTGTTCCAGGGCAGCTACAACATTTGCATTTACCCAACAATATGCAAAATTGCCCAAGTATGTCCTGTATGTAAAAAGTAAGAGAGATCTAACCCAGTTGATTACCACCCCATCAGTTTATTTTTGATCATCGATAAAGTGATGGGAGGTGTCATCAACAGTGCCATCAAGCAGCACCTGCTCAGTGATAACCGGTTTGTGTTCTGCCATTACCATTCAGCTCCTCGCCTCATTACAGCCCTGGTTCAAACATGGACAAAAAAGCTGAGTTCTAGAGGTGAGGTGAGAGTGACTGTCCTTGTTGTCAAGGTAACATTTGACTGAGTGAGGCAGCAAGGAACTGTTGTGTGCAATCGAGGGCTCTGGGTCTGTACTCGGATTTTAGAAGGATTGAGGGGCTATCTGATTGGAACTTAAAGAATACTGAGAGTGGATATGGCAAAGAAGTTTCCACTAGTAGGAGAAACTAGAATCTGACAGCACAGCCTCAGTGAAAGGATAACCTTTTAAATGAGGAATTTCAAACAGAGTGGTGAATCTTTGGAACTAATTGCTGCAGAAGGCTGTGGAGGCCAAGTCATTGTGTGTATGTAAGACAGAGATAGGTTCTTCATTGGTAAAGGGTTCAAAGGTTACAGGGAGAAGTCAGGAGAATAGGGTTGGGAAACATATCAGCCATGATTGAGTGGTGTAGTAGTCTCGGGAGGCCAAGTGGCCTAATTCTGCTCCTACATCTTTTGGTATTGTGGAGTCGAAAGGAATCGGGTCGGGGGGAAGCTCTCAGCTGCTTGGAGTCATATCTGGCACCTAGGAAGATGGTTGTGGTTGTTGGAGGTCAGTCATCTCAGTTCAGGCCATAGAGATAACAAGGTGTAGAGGTGGATGAACACAGCAGGCCAAGCAGCGTCAGAGGAGTAGGAAGGCTGACGTTTCGGGCCTAGACCCTTCTTCAGAAATGGCCATTTCTGAAGAAGGGTCTAGGCCCGAAACGTCAGCCTTCCTACTCCTCTGACGCTGCTTGGCCTGCTGTGTTCATCCACCTCTGCACCTTGTTATCTCAGATTCTCCAGCATCTATAATTCCTACTATCTCGGTTCAGGACGTGTCTGGAGGACTTCCTCAGGGTCGTGTTCTTGGCTCGACCATCTTCAGGTGCTTCATCAGTGACCTTCCCTTCCATTTTCTTTTTTGGGAACAATGAGACCCTTCCCAGCCCACTGCCTGAAACAGTTAATAGCCACCTTGGCCAGACCCAGGAGCAGAGTTACAAGAAGATCCTCTGACTTGTCCATCCCAACCTGCACCGAGTGCCTGTAGATCAGGATTGTGGGGTTGAAGTGTAATTAAAACAGGGCTGCAAATGGAAACATTCTACATAGACATGAAATACCATCTCCTCTAGGCTGCAAAAACTACACAAGTGAATATAGCGAATGTGAGTTGGGCAGCCTGAATGATAAGGGGCTGAGTAATGTTTATGATACAGAGATCACTAATACCCTCTTTGTGGAGCTGAAAGACAGGAAGTTCAAAATGAACATTCCCAGCTGCTACGTAATTTTTTTTAAAAAAAATTTAGATTCATAAAGCCCAGGGTTACAAAAAATTAAAACTTCTAATAAGAGGGTATACCTATCAAGAACGATCAAACACCATCCGGCTGTTTACTGTGGAGAAGAGGGGACCAATGGGAAACCTCATGAGGTGTTTCATGAAACATCATGAAAAGATTCAATCGTCGGTATAGAAAGATATTTTCACCTACCGCTGAGATCAAAATTACAGCCAGACTAAAAGGTAATCACCGAAAGGTAAATTCAACAGGGATTTCAGAAAAAAAATGTATTTGACTAAAGTGTGGTAAGAAAGTAATATGTGCTCCCACATAGAATAGTTGAGGTAAACAGCACAGAGAAGCACCTGAGGAAGGAAAGAATATAAGGATATGTTGACAGGATTGGATGAAGATGGATGGGATGAGAGGGAAAGAAGTTCATGTGGAATATATGCAGCAGTCAGGCTGAATGACATGTTTGTGTTGTGTAAAAATTTCAGAGACCACTAAATTTAATGAAGACATAAACACAGTCTTAATAATGTTCAAGCCTACACTGGATCAATCTTTATTTTCAAACCCTTACATAAATTCCATTTCTCTCTTGGCTGGGAACAAAGGATCTGACAGATTAACAATCTTTGGTTGACCATAGCAATGCCTTCGCAATGATTAGTAGATCTTCTATCTCCCAGCTTGTCCTTTGCATATGAGCTTTCCTATAGTATAAAAGGCCATCTCTAATGGTGCACCCTTGGTATCACCAAAGTTTACAGCTCGGATGGGCAGTGATGATTTATCACCTAGGATTCCTTCATCCGTTCTCCAAATGTGGTCATTGGTATCACAATTGCAGAGCATTCCTGGGACAGAACACGATCCTAAAAGAGCAACAAAAAGAGGTTGATAACCATCGATTCATATATTTGAATTGAAATCTCTGGAACAGGTACATCTGGACACAGGTATGAACTCCTATTAGAGAAGTACCCAGATATAAAGCAGAGTTGAGCTCTTTTGTTGTTGATTTCACTCTATAGCTTCATCACCCCTATAACATAGTTTTTGAAAGGTTATTCACCAAACTCTGCCTTAAATATAATTAATTTGCTCAAAACTCTATCCTTCACTGTGACCTCAACTCTGCTTCATGCTTCAGTCTTTTCAACATCTCCATTCTATCGATTCAGGCTCCCCACAGTAACTTCCTGCTTCACCAAAAGTAGCAAAGATGACAGTCAAAACACAGGAATACTTTCAAACTCCCCTGCCTTGTGTTTTTCCCTGTCTCTTTACCATAAAAAAACTTACTCAGAATTTACTACTTTGAGCGAATTTTCAGTCGTAGAATCTCTACAGTGTGGAAGTAGGCCATTCAGCCCATGAGTCCACACTAACCTTCTGAAGAGCGTCCCACCCTATCACAGTAACCTTGCATTTCCCATGTCCAATCCACCTAACCTGCACACCTTTGGGCTGTGGGAGGAAACTGGAGCACTTCCATGAAACCTGTCACTTCTAGTTTACTGCACCTTCCTCTGCCATCACACCCACTTATGGACATTTTCATAAATAAATCGCCTTCTTTTGAGCAAGTGTGTTTCACACGAAGCAATTTTACTATCTTGCATACTTTGGTTTCATGTTGCTTCCAACACATTTTTGTAACTACAGGCACATTGTAAATCAGATCAATTAAAATCATGACTCATCTCAAACTCTGAAAATTCATGTTATAGTTTCAGATTTTTAACCCATAACGTCAAGCTGAATTTAATTTCCCGAAGATCACATTGTAATTACATGTAGACCTATAGATGAGCAGACTATCTACAATGAAGTAATGAGTTTACAGAGGCATTTATTATTTTAAGACCTTTAACCCAATTTAGAAGTGATGTTCTTCAGTAGATAATTTAATTACTACTAAAAGGTAGAACATTAACATAATACATAAATATTTAGAGTAGATGCAGTCTATTATGCTCAAACAGAAAGTGTTTTCACTATTTTTGCTGAACAATTTCACTGCTGAACTTAATGGAGTAATTTTCTTATGTGGTCATAGCAAATATGGGAGATTCTGAGGAAGGGTCACGTTAACTCTGATTTCACCCCACAGATGCTGCCGGACCTGCTGAGCTTTTCCAGCAATTTCTGTTTTTGTCTCTGCCTTAGATATTAACTGATTAAAGTGCTTTATTCAAATATAGATTGGTTCATCTTTAATTTGTAATAAATTGATCAAGTTGTTGCAACATTTGTATCACATTATTCTGTGGATCTGCTTTTGAATAGAACAGTTCTTAAACTTCAATTATTGTAGCTAAATTGGTGAAAATGTAATAATCAAAAATATTCTGCTCCCCATACTGAACCAGTAAAAATACGAACATTTTAAACCACCTTCATAAAGATGAAGCTCGCCATTTTAAAATTTACAATGGAATTTCCTTTTTAATCCTGAAAGCAAGGTAATCCATATTCCAGAACACAGATAATAAAAGGATGGTGGTTTGAGTTTCTCGTGTACCTGTCATTCCACAAGCACAGCGACCACTATCTGGACTTGCACCTCCCCAGTAGAACATTCTCCTTCCATCCCAGGATGTCCACCAGCCCCAGCCCGCTTGGATGAAGCGAATATGGCGACAGTCCAGCTATAGCACAATAGCAAATGTTGAACAGGAGCAACATAAAATCATAAAGTATTTATCCCCGAAACCCTACTCAGGTTTATTTTTACTGCATAATATGCTGTTTCAAGTAGTTTTTTTGACCCATTTAGAACAGCTAGAGGTTCTACCATGCCCTCCTACCTCATCCCAGAAGCCCCCTCCTCTACACACACATTAGGTGTATTATTATTTCCTGAAGATAATATCTGGGAATGTAATGTGGTGCTTTGTTTATTCAGCTCTATAATCTGTCAATGAGTTCAGTTTGAAGTAACCACCAAGTGTTTGATTTGGGTAGAGGCAGGGAAGAGAGAGTTCACATCTATCCTGTTGGATTGTACTGTGGCTAAACATACGTCTTCATTTATTTAGTGAATTTGAACAATGAAGCCATTTTTTAATTTGTTAAGAAACAAAGGTGCTCAGAAGTGAGGCACCTATTCTTAGGGGAGGCAATGGTATAGTGGTATTATTGCTGGACTGTTAATCCAGATACCCAAATAATGTTCTGGGGGCCTGGGTTCAAATCCCACCACGGCAGATGGTGGAATTTGAATTCCGTAAAATATGTGGAATTAAGAGTCTAATGATGACTGTGAATCCATTGCCAATTCACTAATGTTTTTCAGGGAAGGAAACTGCCATCCTTACCTGGTCTGAGCTACATGTGACTCCAGACCCACAGCAATGTGGTTGACTCTAGGGCAATTAGGAAAAAAAAAAACCAGCAGGTTGAATGAAAGGGAAGACTGGAAAGCTGAATGAATGGACCATCAGTCACTGTGGGTCCAGCTGGTGCTATAGGAATGTATCAGAACAGGCCAACAGTGGAATTAACCCTCAAATAGACTTAGATGTTGGACAGAAGTAAACAACAAGCCTCGGTTTTAGAAAAGAATTGCAACATCTGGGAGATGAAAGAACATAAATTTTGTAAAGCTGTTGAGAAAACATTAAAACCCACACTACTTATACACTGTGTCCTTTTAAGATTTTTCAAGTGGTCTGACCTTGACATGTTGCTCACAGGATTCAGAAATGCTTGTGAGAGCATTCAGCTGATTCAGCTCCGCTTCATATTTTATCTCTTTTCTGTAGCAGCCAGGATCCTCACAGGGAGCTACTCTTGTACGTCTTTCACTGTCATGACTCACTATGGTTATACCTGCATCAGACACATTACAGTCAATGTTTCATTGAAAACTCTTCAGTAAGCACCTTGTTATAATTTGTGGCCAAGATTTTCCTCTCAGTTGCTGCTGTATTTGTGGCAAATTAATGTGTTTTGGTGTAAAGCCATAATTCATATAATCTTCTGAATTGTTGTCTGATGAAGCAGAATAATTTGGAAAAAAATCAAATGCGTTTGACTTGGCATCTTCAACCCTGGTTAACTTCCATTATGACAAGGGATGCAACAAGACATTCTTTGTAGTTCCAGCATGAATACATTTCTTTCTATTTATTGAGATAGGATATGCATAATATGCTAAAATTATTAGATGGAAAAATTGTTTCATTCATCAGAATACCCTTTTGGTGAATTTCATCATTCTATCATGAGGGCTGTGAATTAAAATATTGTTCCTGTTCATGATACTGCCTTTTGGAAGGAGATGGTTATGAAAGGGTTAAGACAGTTTTGTTTTGGTACTTGGCAAGTTATCAATTGAATACTAATACAGCTTTTATCATTCAATTTAACTGTTACATTTGTGTGTTACAATTCTGCCTGTGTAGCATTCTACTAGTCGCCACATCACCCAGACTAGTCGTAAGATCAGAAATGGGGAATTCAGGATTGAATTCAGATGGAAATGAGTTTGGACAAGTTCAGTATCCTAGAAATTTGCCAAGTTTTGATTGTAAAACTGATGTGAAATTTGCCCAGTTGGACCTATAAACTAATGTCCCTTTTGTAAATGATTCTGGACAGTACTTTTATCTGGTTGTGGTATTCAGCAGGTTGCCAATAAACTGAATGGCTGGTTGGGAACAGCAGCAGCCCTCCTGCCCTGCTGTACCCTCCACAACAACCTACCTTTCACAGTCTCTATTCCCACCATCCACAGTCACCATGAGTGGGATTTTAATTGAAAGTCACCTACACATATATATGACATGAATGGAGCCTAAAATGTCAGTTTACAAACTCTAAGAAATTCAGATACTCCCAAAAAATTTCAAGCGTGTCCTGCCTATGGAATACAACATCTCTAAAAAGGTACAAAAGCAGAAGTTGCTGGAAAAGCTCAGCAGGTCTGGCAGCATCTGTGAAATAAAAATCAGAGTTAATGTTTCAGGTCCAGTGACTCCTCCTCAGAACAGACTTGAAACATTAACTCTGATTTTTTCTTCACTGGATGCTGCCAGACCTGCTGAGCTTTTCCAGCAACTTCTGTTTTTGTTCCTGATTTACAGCTTTCATAGTTCTTTTGATTTCTAATTACCAGTTGATTGGTCAGAGGTCATATCACAGAAAACTTCAAATGGTGAAACTCCTCTTCCAATTCCGTCTGGGTCAATGACGTAACGACGTGATTCCTGGAACCCGGCCTTTTTCAGTGCAGCACATGACTCCAGCACTGAAACCCGGGAACCTACAAACCATAGGCAAATCACACAGCAAGGATTAAATTGACTGCATGTAGACAATATACGTGGGTATCATCACCTAAAGCAGAAGGGGCTTGTTAAATATGGTTTGTATTTCCATAGTTTCATAGAAGCCCTACAGTGTGGAAGCAGGCCATTTGGCTCATCGTGTCCACACCAACCTCCAAATAGCATCCCACCTAGAACCACCCCATCCTTGTAGCCCTGCGTTTCCCACGGCTAACCCACTTAGCCTGCACATCCTTGGACACCATGGGCAATTTAGCATAGCCAATCCACCTAATGTGCACATCTTTGGACCGTGGGAGGAAACTAGAGCACCCAGGGGAAACCCATGCAGACACGGGGAGAATGTGCAAACTCCTCACAGAAAGTCACCCAAGGGTCCCTGGTGCTGTGAGACAGCAGCGCTAACCATTGAACCACCCCACTCTGGTTTGTATTACCTTCAGCAATAACAATTCAACAATTGAACAACAACTTTATTTTATAAATTTATAGAAAATCTCAAGTTTTTTACAGAGGAGGTCTAAAGAAACAAACATCAAACACGGAAGGGAGAGATTGGGGGCTGAGCTGGATTAATGGGGATCTGTGTGTTTGTTTTGGGTTTTAAGAAATTTCTTGCAGGGAAGGAAGTTCCAGCAATTACAACCTCAGCAGCTGAGGGCTCTGTACCGAATGGTGTAGTGAAAGGGAAAGGTGGGGAGGGGTGATATTCTAAAAGTCCCAAGTGAAAGGGACAGCAGGAAGGATATAGGTCTGAAGGGATTATAAGGATCAAATTGGGTAAAGCAAAGGAGAAGTTTTGCCAAGTACTTTCCAATCCTTTATTATTTATTTAAACCTCCTTTTTGTATATTCATCACCTCTGTATAAAGTAGTTCAAATGGCTTTCACCCTCCTGTTTGAGATTGTGTCATTTTACTGTTGTGGATCTGTGCCCTTCAGAATCTTAAATGCCTACAAGGTTAAAATTGAGCTTCTTCCACTGTAAGCATTCAAAACATCCATAGCCTGCCCTCAAAATTCATGTTGAATCCTAGCTATGGATTCAGAGCCCTTCACTGCACTGTCTCCAAAGTTTAGCTGTCTTTCATTTAATTGATTGTGCATAGCCTCCCACACAGGACTGAGCCAGTGCATTATACAAACTCTATCACTGAGATATATGTACTACTGCTTTAGTAATACATCCCAAGATCCTACTTAACTCTATTCACTGCACTTTACAGTGTGCTGTGGGCTTCAGCAATTTATCTAGCAATGTCTGCAAATCCTTTTCTTGTATTTTTACTGTAAAATAAGACCTTGTGGTGCCACTGCTTATTAACTTTACAGGTAAAAAGATAGACATCTTTTCAGTGAAACTAATCCTCACTGAACAGTTTCCTCCTTCCCACGAAATGGTTCTAATGTATTGCAGTTCCTCACACACTATCCATTAAGCCACATTATTTTTTCTTTGTCTCTGTCTGTGCAGTTCAGAGTGTGGTACTTTTAGTAATCCCAAGATTACTACCTTGGCGAACTCAGTCTATTCCTTTCCCTTTGAAACTGAATTTCAAAGGCTTGAGTCTGCTCTTTCGTAATTGGTTTGAAGTTAAGCAAAGTCTGTGGGTATTTTCACACTCCTTTATGAAATATTTCTCTGCCTACTCATTATGTATTGAGGCAATGTATCGGAGGGAACTCCTGTCATGAGTGCAAAAGAAAAACTAGCTATCTGTATATTTATAGGATCTCTATAATGATGACCTTCCTGTTCTTTCCTGCTTACCTCAGATTGTTCTTTCTTTCATTATGCCATGCTGTCTGCTTCTTAGCTATTCGATATCTGTTGGAAGTTTAGGAATACCCATATTTTTGAACTCGCTTTATTTCTTCAGCAGTGACTTATTTAGTTAATTATTCAACTCTTGACCATTTCTCAATCTTTGGAATAGTGGTAACATGGAGTGTGTGGAATTTAACTCTGCACTTTGGAACCTGTGCCCCTGAGCATAAATATCAGGTGCACACCTGCCTCTGCTCTGGTGACTATTCTGCAACCATTTTGACAGGTCAATTATTGGCTCGAGGCAGGTCTCCCAGCACCTTCTGGGAAAGAAGTCCCTCCTCTGAGACCTAATGAACAAATAGCTGGAAGATCCCACCCGTGCCATCATGAGTGATGGTCACTACTGGTACTGCATCTAATTCCCAATGTGATCATTCTTGGAGCCAGCCACCAAGATAACTGGGGCCAGACTATGGCTGGAGATAGGGTCTGAAATGAGAAGCTGGAGTAGATCAGCCGGAGAAGGAGTGGTAACTGGGAGGGGAAATATCTTGTGGGGGTTGGCCTGTAATGAGCCAAGGGGCCTCGCTCACCACCAAGTGCCAGACTGCAGGCTTGATGCCAGCCTCCACCTGCTGTGCATAACATTGCAGCAGGAATAGGGGAGGGTACATGGTACCAAGAACCATGCCCATGGCATTGAGTCCAATTTTTTTTAAACTACATCCAATGCCAACCTGCACCTAGGGCAGTATGAAATTCAAGCCCAAATGTTGCATTTTGCAGACATTGTTACCAACATTCTAATAAAGAGTCACAATTCTCTGACAATTCCTGCAAATGTAATGTTCCCCATGCACAGGGACTGCCCACAATTTACATATTATCCATATCATGAGCTGTTCCTATTAGTCAGTCATTTCCACATGATGAGCCTATTTATATACTACAGTTGTCTCACCAATCATTACATAATCTTGATTAAGCTTTCTCACAGCAGTAAGATTGAAGAAACAGTGAGAAAAAAACGTGTTTGTATTTGTTGTCACTAAAGTACTAAAGAGGAAGTAAAAACAATTAAACCCAAGCCTGGCTTCCAAAAGTTAAACTGTCTCCCTTTAATTTTAGTCCTAGAATTTAAAACTAAATTACAGTAATCACAGTTATATGTTATTTCTATGTAACATTTATTTTGAGCAAAGGAGGCCAATTCAGAATTAATAATTTCTTCAGATATAAATGATCCTTGTTTAAATTCTCCTTTCAATAAATTCATTGTAACATCATGTGTAATGCAAGGAAGAAATGTTACAATGTTTTTTGTGTTTTCCTTGGCTAAAGATGTTTCCAATTTGTAACTAATCAGCCAACTTACCAGAACATCTGCAGTTCCTAAAATCTGTCACTAAATCTACAAAAAGCATTGAACAGGTAATGCCGGCAGGAATAAAACAACGTTTGTTTCAGTTGCACCCAAGATGGTTTTTAACTATGGAAAGCTAAATGACAGCTTTATTCCTCATACTGTGAGAAACCTAATCTCTCAGGAAGACTCACGCTTTGTGACCGGTTGCAATCAGAAAAGCCACCATCCACAAGGTTTACACAATCTTAAAACTAACATATAATCTTAACACCAGATGCATAAATCATTTAAACTTTTCTGTTGAGTTTTGCAAAACATTCAAACATCACAACATATTTCCCTCACACTGCATCTTTACAACCAAGATGTAAGAGCTGTTGCCAATGAAGCTGGTCACAGTCCCACTGTAAATGGTTCAGGAGTGCAGAGGATTGGTGGAAAGTTGAGCAGGAACAAGGCACAAAGATTTGTGCACAGAAGTACCTTGGAGAAAGTTCACTGAGAGGCCAGCAGAAGCTCTTTGCCAATTGGTATTCCCACAGGCTGAACCTCCATTCTAGCCTAGAATTCAGACTCCAGAAAAGAAAATAACTTCCAAATCTTTGATGAAATTGATGTAAACATGGGGCCTATTGGAACGTCTAGGATAAAATCATTGCCTGATCCAATTTTTACTTATGGTCAGCACTTTGAACCTTGTGCATTACAAACAGGGATCCCATCTTCTAAAAGGGAGCCACCAATGCTATACCACTGGCTGTCTACTTATCTGTCTAATGCTGCAACCTCCAAATCTACCCCCCACCCCATTAAGATCTTGGTGCCAGCCTTTGATCATCGCATGCTGTTGAAGCAAAGTGGAGTCAGAACGGTGGAGGTAGTTCAAGGAATACTAACCAATTTTCAGGCCTCTCCACTGGAATACCACCAGCCCCAGGCAATGCCAGAAAATGGTGGAGGTACACATGGCCCCTTTATAGCCCCATGTCAAACTGCATCCCTCTACCCACAACTGCCCATCACTGCCCTTTATGACTTCTATGCCAACTTATGTCAATCCAAATTTCCCCACCCTTTACTCTTACAACAATCAGTTTATCCAATCCTAATATCTACCATGGGCAGACCTCAGAACCCTGCAGGATGCAGGAGGACATGCCAGGAGCGGCACCAGGCATACCTAAAAATTAGGTGTTAGCCTGATGCCGTTAAAAAGCAGGACTATTTGCATGTCAAACAGCATAAGCAGTAAGTGATAGAGCTAAGCAAGTTCACAACCAAAGGATCAGATCTGAGCTCTGCAGTGCTGACGCATCCAGATGAGAATAACTGCAGAATTAAGCAACTCATTGGAGGAGAAGGCTCTACAAATATCTCTACTCTTGATGATGGACGAGCTCAACACATCAGTGCAAAATATAAGGCTGAAGCATTTGCAGCAATCTTCAGCCAGAAATACCATGTGAATGATCCATTTTGGCCTCCTCTGGTGGTCCCCAGCATCACACATGTGATTTCAGCCAATTGATTCACTTACACAATATCAAGAAACAGTTGGTGATTCTGGATACTGAAAACGCTACGGGCCCTGGCAGCATTCCGGCAATAGTACTAAAGATTTGTGCTCCAGAACTTGCCGCTCCCGTAGCCAAGCTGTTCCAGTACAGTCACAACACTGGTATCTATCCGACAATGTGGAAAATTGCCCAAGTATGTCCTGTACATAAAAAGCAGGACAAATCCAAACCAGCCAATTACTGTCCCATCAATCTCTTCTCGATTATCAGTAAAGTGATGGAAGGTGTCATCAACAGTGCTATCAAGCAGCACCTGCTCAGAAATAACCTGCTTATGACGCCCAGTTTGGGTTCCAACTGGGCCACTCAGCTCCTGACTCCAAAAGCAACATTCATGCTACTCAAGTGCCAGGAAATAGCCATAACAGGAGAGAATCTAGCCATCATCCTTAACATTATATCATCTTACCATTGTGGAATTCACCCCAATCAAAATCCTAAGAGTTACCATTGAACAGAAACTCCAATGGAGGCAGTTCAGGGAAGGTTCATTGGATTAATTCTAGCGATGATAGAGATTGAGCAGTTTGGGCCTGTTCCCGCTTGAATATTGAAGGATGACTGATTTAATTTAGGTATATAAAATACTAAATGGGATATTGAAAAAGTAGACATGGAGTGGATGTTTCCCCGTGTCGGGTAAATCTAGAACAAGCGGTCATAGTTTTAGGCTAAGTGGGGGCAGATTTAAAACAGATATGACGAGGAATTACATCTTTTAAAGGGTCCTGAATTTGTGGAATTCACTACCCCAGACGATGGTGAACACAAGGACACCGAATAAGTCTAAGGAGGAGATAGGGAGACTTTTAATTAGTAATGGTCTGAAGGGTTATGAGTGCTGGGCAGAAGTATGGAGTTAAGGCTGCGACAAGATCAACCATGATTGTACCAAATGATGGAGCAGGCTTGAGTGGCTGAATTGTCAATTTGTGCTCCTAGTTCCTATGGTCTTATATAAATACGGTGGCTACAAGAGCAGGCCAGAGACTAGAAATTCTGTGGTGTGCAAACTGCATCCACAGTGTTGTCAACAAAAGACAACTATTTGCTCTATGCTGCCTTCCATCTGCAAGATACAACTCAGGAATGTAATGCAATACTCTCCACTTGCCTGGGTGGGTGTAGCTTAAACAAATGGTGCATACATGGAATGAGCTGCCAGAGGAAGTGGTAGAGGTGGGTACAATTACAACATTTTAAAGGTATTTGGACAGATACATGGATAGGAAAGGTATAAGAGGGCTATGAACCAAAAGCAGGCGAATGGGAGTAGTTCAGTTTTGAAAACCTGGCTGGCATAGACGAGTTGGGCCAAAGGGCCTATTTCTGCGCTGTTTGACTCTATAACACTCAAAAAGCTTGACACCATCCAAGACAAAAAAAATCCCACTTAATTAGCATCCTATCCACCAGCTTCCAAATTCATCCACTCACTCCACTACCAACACTCAGTAGCAGCAGAGTGTACTATCTACAAGGTGCACCACAGAAATTCACCAAAGTTTCTTATAAAGCACCTTTCAAACCCATGACCACTTCCATCCAGAAGGACAAGGGCAGCAGATACATGGGAACACCACCACCTGGACATCCTCTCCAAGCCTCTCACCACTTGACTTGGATGTTCCTTCACTGTCCCTGTGTCAAAATTCTAGATCTCCCTCCCCGAGGGCATTGTGGGTCAACCTACAGCTTGTGGACTGCAGCAGTTTAGGAAGTAGGTCATCATTATCGTCTCCAGGGCAATTCGAGATGGGCAATAAATGCTGACCAAAGCAGTGGTGTTGACATCCCAGGAATAAATGAGAAAACATTCTCAAACCCACTCCTGCCCAACAACATTGGAAAGTGCTATGTCTGGGGAAAGACTTATGATTTTAATTTCTTGGGAAATGAGGGAATCCCAATAGAATGTGCCAGAAGAATTTCTGAAAGGTTTTCCTCAACTTTAATGATGCACAAGCAAAGCTGTTAATGTTGACATTTTCACCCATACTGTACAGCCATGAATTGGCCAATTATCAAACTCCTGAGTTTTGACTAAGTGCAAAGCTACAGAGAGTCAAAGTTTTTTATTTAACTTCTCCCAGTTGTGTCCCAGATCAGTGTACTAATTCATTTTGAAGCGACCTGCTCAGGGAGACTGGAATTTCTCAGACCCAATGGGAACCTGTAGGATTCAACCTGAAGTTGCATTCTAGATTTGATATTACTGTAGTTTTAAGAGGATTTTATGGTCACAGAAATCCTGTTCAGTCCATTATCAATACCTGTGCTATTCTGTTACCTCCATTTCCTCTACTAATCAGATATTGATCTGATTGTATTGTTTTGTAATCCAGTTGAATTTTAAACTGCTTCATTATTCTACAAGCATTTGTTACAAATTGAGATTCCCATTTGCTTTCAAACACATTCTTACTCTGTCCATAACAATGAAGTGGGCCGATTTTGTAAAATGCCATCTCTACAGGTGCATCTCTTGTATCTCCAAACCTCACTTCGCGTACAGGAAGAATAGCTTTGTCTGTCAAATATCCTTTGTCTTGTCTCCAAACTCCATCATTTGCATCACAGTTGCATGTGGAAAGACCCAGGGCACAGTTGCCTGTGAAAAAAGGATTTGCTAGATTTTTCACCACCACACTACATTGAAACAATTTGCCACTTAGTAAGATTTAGCATTTTTAAATATATTTAAGTCTTAAACATATATACAGAACTTACATTTACAATTAACCACAAGCACGCTCACCAAACAGAGGAGAAATGTTAAAACAATACAAACCGATTGGCCTGTTGCATATAATTTTTACATGGTTTGGAACTGCCTCAAATAATGATATTTGTTTGCTTCAACTACTGGGGCTTGAAGGCTATTCTAGTTAGATTCCGGCATATTGTTTCAATCAGAACTTTTATTTCTGACTGCGGATATTCCCAGGACTTTAGGAAAGCTTGCCTGCAATGTGAAGTTGGAGCAGTGGAAGGAAAACTTTAAAAACTGAATATTTCAAGAAATTCTCCAAGTACAGATTTGAATTGTGACTGATGGACAAGAATATACCCCACACTATCTTTTCAGCACCATTTGGAAACTGCATACAAAAGCGAAGGGGAGAGGTGGATTAAATTTATAATATAGGAACAAGTTATAAAGCATGAAAATGACAGCAATTTACATTTTTATCATGTCTGTAATGTAATAAAATTTCCCAAGGTGCTTGGAAACAATGCATGGCTCTAAGGCACATAAGGAGATATTATGTCAGATGGCCAAAAGCTTGGTTAAAGAGGTAGATTTTCAGGAAGGTCTTAAAGGAGGAAATTTCAATAAAGATGCAGACAGGTGTACTGAAAGAATTCCAGATTGTGAGGCCTGAGCAGGTGAAGGTATGGCCAGCAATGGTGGAACAATTGAAACTGGGATGTTCAAGAGTCAAGAAGTTGATGTGTATGCATATCTTGGAGGATTATAGGGCTGGAGGAATTTAGAGAGATAGGGAGGGATAAGGCCATGGAGGGATTGGAAAACAAGCTGAGGATTTCAAAATGGAGACATAGGGGTGACAGGGGAATACAAGTACAGCAGAGGTTTGGATGATATGGATATTATGTTGAGGTTATACAGGATGTTGGTGAAGCCTCTTCTCGAATAGTGACCAGTTCTGGTCACCCTGTTATAGGAAGTTATTATTAAGCTGGAGAGGGTTCAGATGAGATTTACATGGATGATGCCATGAATGGAGGGGTTGAGATATAAGGAGATGCTGGATAGTCTGGGACTTTTCTCACTGGAGCATAGGAGATTGAGAGGTCACCATTTAGAGGTTTATAAAATAATGAGGGGTATAGACAAAGTGAATGGTAGGTGTCTTTCCCTAGGATGGGGGATTTCAACATTAGGGGGGCAAGAGGAGAAATATTTAAATAAGACATGACAGCCAATTTTTTTTACACAGAGAGTGGTTCATGTGTGGAGTAAACTTCCAGAGTAAGTGACGGATGTGGCTACAATTACAATGTTCAAAAGACATTTAGAAAAGTACATGAATAGGAAGTGTTTGGAGGGATATGGGCCAAGCGCTGGCAGATGGGACTAGTTTAGTTTGGGATTATGGCTGGCATGGACTGGTTGGACCAAAGGGTCTGTTTCTGTGCTGTATGACTTCATGATTCTATGACTTTATGCCCTCAAGTTTACAGAAGGCAGAATGTGGGACACCAGTCATGAGTGTGTTGAACTATTCACATCTAGATGTAACATAAATTGTAATCAGACCATCAGTAGATACACAGAGAAATGAACCAATGACGTGCCGGTGAAAAGTGATGGTCCTAGTGATGGTGCGAATATTTGATTGAAAGATCATCTCTGGTAAAATATGATATAAAGCCTGGTTTAGTCTTAGACTATTGGCAGGGAGATATGGAAATCAGTAATGATGGAGTTTGGAGGGGGCTGGTTTCAATCTTCCCAATGTTTAATTGGAGGAAGGAAGAATCAGAAGACTGACCGGTGTATAAAACGAATGGACTGTTTTAGGTTCAGTTACAAAACAGAAGTCATCTGTTTTTAATCATTAATGTGCAGTGGTCCTTACCATTTTCCCCACACGCACATTTTCCACTGTCAGTTGAAGCTCCACCCCAGGAATTTATTTTACGCCCATCACGAGACACCCACCAACCCCAGTGCTGTTTAAGGAAACGGATATGGCGACATTCCAACTAAGCAATACAAGACATAAAATATTGTTAATTGGTTATGTTTCTATGAACGTTGCAGCAGTTAATATGAGCTGTTACTGTTTGTTACTTTTTCTATCTGTGCTCTTGCACGGTTTATATTACTATCCCTGATCCATCACTGTCCTATCGAGAGTCAAATCTAGGAAACAGACCTACACAATCATACTTGAAGGTACTTTAACTCTTCAAGTACTGCTGTGGTTGAGTTTACTAAAAGGGATTATTCCGAGTTGCAGGTAAATGCTGTTAATACTTCAAAGATTGGCAAATTCATGTTCAGAACCTATCAATCATTGATACTTTTGCCATTTAATGTCACCTTATATTTAATAATATATCGTGTGTTTTGTCTTTCCTTTCCACCTTTTGAATGGAATGGAAATAGAGAAACAGAAGAATACATCTGTGGACATTTTTTTTTAGAAAAAACATAAACATGTAGAATGTTTGAACAGGTAGAATTAGAAGACAGTATAAGTAAAGCTTCCCTTTTTAAAACGGCAAGATTTCAGGCAGAGCGTAACACCCTACGTACCTACACCATCCCTCTTCACAGAGCAGGTGAGCTTGCTGGAGTAAAATTCAGATGGGAAGCCTGGACACCTATCTACCAATAGTAGAGTAGCTGACAGGCAGTGTACCTAGTCTAGGGTCATTGATGGTGGCCAATTAATGGTGACAAGGCCCTCACGTATACCTGACTTTGTACTCGGTGGGAGCTCTCTCCTGTTTGGGAACCCCGTGCCCCAAGGAGGGAATCCCTTCTAGTGGAAAGGATTGCCTTGTTTGAATTTGCATGCCACCCTTGCCTCCTCTCCACCCTGGCTGACTGACCTTGTGAGGCCGCTCCACTAATGTTGAACCCCAAGCCTCTGACAAACTTACCTGAAGTGTGACTGCAGTTCCAGCAGTGGCCACTGTTTCTGGTGGCGCTGTTGGGGGTGGCGAGCTGCCAGCCATCTGATTTGCTAGCAAGTTTGGGAGCTTCCACATGGGGGTGAAAGCAACTACCTCAGGCCATCAAATATCTGATGACCACAAAAATTGTTTGTGGCTTCCTAGCCAGTGGACGGGGCCACTGTTTAAAATTCAGCATTTTAATATTGTAGCACCAAAGTAATTTTCATACTTCTTTTATTAACGAAATCACAAATCACAAGCTGGAAATAAAAGCTGTCAGCGCAGGGAAGCATTAATTTTTTTTTATCCTTTCATGGGATGTGGACATCACTGTCAAGGGCAGCATTTACGACCCATCCCTAACTGTCCCGCAACTGAGTGGCTTCCCAGTCCAGCTCAGAGTCAGCCATATTGCTGTGGTCTGGAGCCACATGTACCTCAGTCCAGCAGATTTACTTCCCTTCAGGATTTTAGTGAGTCACATGATATCTTTAGACAATCAGTGATAGTTCAGGGTCACCATTACTTAGACTGTCTTTACGTTCAGGATTTAATTATTGAGCTTCAATTCTACCAGCTGCCATTGGAATTTGAGCCCATTTCTCCGGGGCAATCGCTTGGACTGCTGGTTCTCATTCAGTGATATTACCATTACACCAGCATCTTAACCATTTTCTTGAACCAACAAGAGTCTGAATGTTAAGATTTCTTTAAAAAACATTTTCTAGAGGCAGCACTTTTAACACAGGGTCAGAATGGAGTATCCTGATAGCTGAAAACATGTCAAACAATGGTGGAATCAAAGAAGTGGGGATCAGTTTGGAAAATCAAGTCTCAGTGATTTGCTGATTTCAAACAGCTGACATAAATAGGTGTAGTACGAGACCATTCAGCCCCTCTGAGTCTGTTCTGTCATATAATAAAATAAATGTTGATCTGATTGTGGTCTCAACTCTAGTCTTCTATGTATTTTCAATCCCCTTTTACTCACTTGTGGTCAACAATCTACCTATCTCTAAAATGTTTCTTTATTTTTAAAGTAATAATGACCCTGCTTTCGCACTTCACCACTGAATAGAATTCCAAAGAAATGAAAAAAGAATGCTCCTCATCTCCATCTTAAATGGGCAACAGATTATTTTTTAACTGTGTTCCTTAGTTCTAACACTTCAGTAAAGCAAGGGAAGAAGTTAGGAACAAAAACAAAAGCAAAAACAAAAAACAAAGTTTTCCAGCAACTTTATTTTTGTTCCTGATTTACAGCATCTGCAGTTCTTTCGGATTTTAATTAAGGGAAGTTGTTGCCTGAGTGAAAAAATCTAATTGTAAGTAAAACAAAAGAGTAACTAAACTGTATGAAACATCAACGCATTATCATTCAATAATGTCATTGTGAATGGGAGATATGGAAAAATGAAGCAGATTGAAGAATGATAAGGGTAACTTTCATTTCACTGTTTGTGTGACAATCTGTTTTGACAGGGGGCACAAAAGTATTGGAACAAATCACTGCAGATGCTGGAATCTGTACTGAAAACAACAAATTCTGGAGATCACAGCAGGTCAGACAGATCCTTGGAGAGACAGCAAGTTAACGTTTCGAGTCAGTAATTCCTTTCTAAATATAATTTTGTTTCTTTTCTTTTTCATTTTGCAGAACAACTAAAATTCTTAAACTAAACAGGGATCCAGCACATGTTCATTTTTTTGCAACATCTATGTCTAAGAAGCTGATTATCGTAATGTATGAGTTACTTACACTAACATATTGCTTACAGTACTTTGTGGTCTCTGTTAAAGCCTTAAGTTGATCCAGGGATGCCTGATTGTAATGAATAGTTCGAGAATAGCACCCAGCATCTTCACAGGGAGATACGCGTATTCGGTCCTCTGAATCATGACCTATCACAGTAATGCCTTAAAAAACAGAGATTGTAATTTTCACTAAACAGACTGTCCAATTAAACATGAAAAGTTTTCAACTGAGACGAGTACAAATTTATTTTCACTACTGAATTAATTGTTAAAGAAGAAGAAGATGCATTCATTTTCACACAAACATCTGATACATTATTATCTTTGCCTGAATAGTTCCATCAGATTCCCAGTCATTTCAGTCTTTTCATACAGAAATTCTTACTGAAGCATAACTTTTGAAAAGAAACATCCTGCTTCCCATTGGTACACCTCCCAGTAAATGCCCAGGTTGTAAATCACCTCCCTTTGTTATCAGCTGGGAATGGCAGAACCAGAAATGTGAATCATCATTTTTCTTCAAATGTAACTGTACAAAATTTGAAAAATTTCAAGCAAAGTACTGATTGAAACAAAATCAGTTTGTGGTGTGTAATTGCTTGTGGCGTGCTGTTGTGGGAGACGAGGGAGGAAATTAAAGTGGTCCTGACCCAAATTTTTATATCATCTCTGACCACAGGGGAGGAGCCAGAGCTCTGGAGGCGAGCTGATTTACAAGGGTGGTAGAGATTCTAACATCGTTGGTAGGGAAATTATGGAAGTAAACAGTGAAGGAGAAAATTAATCTCCATTTAGAGGGGCAAGGTTTAATCAGGGATGGTCAGCATGGCTTTGACAGAAGGAGGTCATGCCTAACAAGTCCAGTGGAATTTTTTTTGAGGAGATGAGGGCAGTGCAGTTTTTTTTCCTTTATTCATTCATGGAAAGAAGGCGCCATTGCCTAGGCAATGTTTATTGCCCAACCCTAGTTGCCCAGAGGGCAGTTAAGAGTCAACCACATTGCTGTGGGTGTGGAGCAACATGTAGGTCAGACCAGACCAGTTTCCCTAAAGGACATTAATAAATCAGATGGATTTTTTTTGGCATATGGCCATGGATTCATGGTCAGCATTAGATTTAAAATCAGTTTCTTTTCAATCGAATTCAAATTTTACCATCTGCCTTAGTGGGATTCAAACTCAGGTCTACAGAGCATTATCTGTGTCGTCTCTGGATTAACAGCCCAGCAATAATACCACTAGGCCATTGCCTTGATATAGTTTATATGGATTCCAGCAAAAACTTTGACAAGGTGCCAAATAGGAGACTGATAAAGAAGGTAAAAGCACTTAGGATCCAGGATAACTTGATAAGATTAATCCAAAATTGGCTTAGTGACAGGAGACTGCAGGTGGTGATAGAAGGCCATTTGTGTGACTAGAACCCAGAGTGCAGTGGCGTACCACAGGGGTCAGTGCTGGGTCCTCTATTGTTTGTGATATTTATAAAATGATATAGATGAGGGCGTGGGAGTGATGATAAGTGAATTAATGAATGATACAAAGATTGGCTGGGTGCTTGACAATGAAGAGGAAGGTGTAAGGATACAGGAGGATATAAACAGATTGGTCTGAAGGGCAGATCAGAGGCAAATGGAATTTAACCCTGATAAATGTGAGTTGATGCATTTTGGAAGATGGAACAAGACAGGGGAGTGCTCAACGAATGGCAGGACACTAGGAAGCTCTGCTTGTTCACAAATCCCTGAAGCTGGCAGGACTGGTTAATAGGGCAGTCAAGAAGGCATACGGGACACTTGCCTTTATCAATCATGGCATAGCCTTTAAGGGCAGGGAGATCATGTTGGAGCTGTACAAAATCTTTGGTTAGGCCACGGCTGGAGTACTGTGTGCAGTTCTGGTCACCAGACCAAAGGAAGGATGTGCATGCACTGGATGGGGTGCAGAGGAGATTCAACAGGATGTTAGCTTGGATGGAGCATTTTAGCTATGGAGAGAGACTGGATAAGCTCAGGTTGTTTTCTTCAACGCCGAGAAAGTTGAGAGGGAAACCCAATAAAGGTCTATAAAATCATGAGAGGCACAAATAGGGTGAACAGAAAGTAGCAGTTCCCCTGAGTCAATGTGTCAATAACAAGACAGTGATAGGTAGGAGGGTTAGAGGGGATTTGAGGAAAATCTTTTTCACCCAGAAGGTGGTGGGTTCTGGAATGTCTGGGAGGGTAGTTGAGGCGGCAACATCACAACCTTTAAAAAGTACCTGGAGAAGCATTTCAAGTGGCTATGGGCCTAGTGCGGGCAACTGGGACGAGTGTAGGTAATAGTACATTTTAGGTGATACAGACTTGATGGGTCAAAGGGCCTCTTCTGCACTTTATAATTCAATGAATAAACTAAATAGATTTTATCTGCTACCAAACTTACAAACAAAACACAGCAGATTTTAGAAATCTATTTGATGCGTAGTGTTAGCATTTAATAGAGTTGTTGGATTTGAAATTACCGGAGTTCGTAAACTCAGGCTATTTTTCTTTTGCGGGTGTGAGTTTTCACTTCTGTATTTTTTCTGGCGAGCTGTTTGTGTGTGACAATGTGACGGAATGTGCTTTTTAGATGGCAAGGAATGAAAGCTGAACTGATCCCCTTGTGCCCATTAAATCTCCTCAAAACCTGGCAACCACTCAGACCTACTTTGTACACTCCAACATGAAGGCAAAATATTACAGGTATTGAAAATCTGAAATAAAAACTGAAAGTATTTCAAATAATTTTAAAAATGGCAAGGCCATGTGTGACTCATACTGGATAAGACTAATAATGTTTTGAAACCATTGCTGTATTTGTTATTTGAAAACGAAGTGTAAATAAATCTTGCTCATTGTACTTATTCTAGGAGACAGAAGCTAAGGGACTTAGAAAGAAAGCGTGACTTCAAGAGACTTTAATTGAGAGACGCAGAGAGGCTTTGGCAGTGAGAAAGTTAGGAGTTTTTAGCTTGCTGGTTATAATGACCTTTGAACTTTTCCCTATCACTGGGTGTGGATGTGTCTCACAATAACTTGGTGTAGCCAGTAGACTTCTCTAACAGCTCCAAGTAAGGGAGGAGATAGTAAGAACTGCCGATGCTGGAGTCAGAAACAGCACGGTGTGGAGCTGGAGGAACACAGCAGTCCAGGCAGCATCAGAGGAGCAGGAAAGTTGATGTTTCAGGTCGGGGCGCTTCTTCAGACCCATTTCTGAAGAAAGGTCCCAACCCGAAACGTCAACTTTCCTGCTCCTCTGATGCTGCCTAGACTGCTGTGTTCCTCCAGCTCCACACTGTGTTATCCAAGTAAGGGAAGGTTCTGACAGACAGCAGACACTGGAGAGTGTGTACTGTTTATTTTGTACCATCCACAGGTCTGACTGATGGTTAGGACCTCCTCAAAACTTTAGGAATTGCAAACATTTAAACAGAATCTGAAAGTCTGAAAATAAAGAAACAAAAATTGAAGAGATAAAAGTTAAGGAGGTGACAATATGTACATCATGACCGACAGCTCAGTGTGAGGCTAGGTAGGAATGGAGTTGCTGAAGATTAACTAGCTGTAGTTCATAAGATTGAGCTGATTTCTGTTTGTGTCATGTATACCTTTTCTATTAGTATGTTTGTCTACAAGAAATTGATAGGATGTGATTTCCAGAAGATAATGGTGAGGACAGGGTGATACAGACCCCAACAAGACTGAGAATGCTTTGAAGCCAGTGTTAGAATTGTCCTTTTAGAATTATGTATAAATAAATCTTACTTGCTGTATCTGATCTTGAAAAGAGAAGCTGAGTGACTTAGAGGGTGTGTGACTTTGAGAGAATTCAAGCATATGTGGAAGAGACAGAAAGAGAATTAGGAGTTTGATCTTCTTGCTTGCTTGTAATGACTTGAAACATCTCTGACTCTCGGTGTGGCATTTGTTCCACGGCATAATCATCACCTGTTTTCCCTTCTTAGAGACATCTCCAGGATCATTCTTAAATTTGCACACGCATTAATTTATCATAGGAATAGCCAAAAAAAGTGTCAAATTTTAAATTTAACTGAAAGAACTAAATAATTGAAGAAGACACTTTTTGCCTTTTCAACACCTCCTGTTTTCTCCCAAACTGGTATTTATGAGATCAGTTCATCATGAAAGATAATGCTGACAATAATAACACAATAAAAACCTAGAATCATGGTTATTACATAGGAAAATGCAGCAGCGTAGCATTGTCCCACAAACAGAAATGAATTGAAAGCTGGTTGTCTGTTTTGCTATTATTTGAGAGATGAATATTATTCCAATACTGGGAACCTTGCTGATCTACTTCAAAAAAGTAGCACATAATCTTTTCATTGTATCTACTTCCAGACATTACAAAGGAAAATTGCCAATTTCTGACAGTGGCTGTTTTGTTTTGAAATAAAATCATAAAATTAACTTTACCAACATACTCATTTGATATTAAGAAGAATTTTACCTTAGAATTTCTTAATTATCAGTTCAACACCACACAATACTTGTGAAATAATATGTGAAATACCATAAACGAGATACTTATGTTGAAGCATGCTCCACAACCTTATCGCCAATGTTTGATATTTATTTAAAAAGCTGGTTACTGGGACTACTAACCTGTTGCTGGGTCAGAGACCATGTCACATTCAACTGGAAAAGGATCTACTCCACCATCCACACCATCGGGATCTATGGTGAAGACCCCAGACTTCAGAATGCCTGCATTTTTTAAGGCTGCACAGGATTCCATTACTGTGGCAAATTCAAAGTAAAATGTGAGGAATATATTTTCATCCGACTGCTTTTTTTTCTAAAAACATAATCTAGCATTCTCATTTAGTATTCGGCTTCAAGTTGGCTGGGTTTATTTGTGATTATCATGGTTTGAAATTTCTACATTAAATAGTTTCTCAAGTTCAATATCCCTTATCAATCTTGCAACGCATCCTTAAGTTCCCTTTAACACACACACACCATCTTTTTCTAATGAGAAATTCTTTGTGAGATATTAAGTGCGCAGCCCCTAAATGTTGTTACTAACATGTACCACAAGAAATTCAGCACCAAGGAAAGAAATATATCTCATGTCAGTGCTGTTTCTCTTTCCACAGATGCTGCCAGTCCTGCTCAGTTTCTTCAGTGTTCTGTGTTTGTTTATGCTTTTTTTTGTTGCAGAACCAGCACCATAAGCCTAGTTTGTTCATCCTGTGTAAATCTTAGCTCATGGCAAGTTCAGTCTTCCCTACTGACTTTCATTTTTATGTTAAACAGGGACAGACTACTGGGAGGAAGCCTAATAAAGGCAGTATACATTTGTGTACTGAAGTACTCATTGAATAAGACCACAAGCATGGAAAATGTGTGTCCATTTCACTTTTAAAAATTCAATGTCTGTGCCATGCAGTCAAGTTATCACGGTCTTACCAGACTGTAGGGCTACTCTCTCATTAGAGAGAGAGAGAGAGAACTGGTAGTGGTTTAACCTGAGGATCACCACGCCTCAGGTGAGGGAGAGTTTGAGAAGGAGAGCCCTTCATGGTAACCTGAGCCAGTGCAGGAATTGAATCCATACTGTTAGCATCACTCTGTGGTGTAAACCAGCTATCCAGTCAATGGAACTAAACTGACTGCCCTGAATGATTAATCTAAACATATTTGCACATTCTATTTTTATATCAAGGAACAACAGAAATATTGTTTTTTTAACCCTGTTTTTATAAAAGCCCATCCTCTAGCCCAATAGTAAAATGTGAGTATCAAACCTCAGAAGTTGGCAGCGTGGTATGGCAACTGGACAGAATGACTCACCCTGGCAGATGACTGCTGCAACTTCATTGCTTGTACATTTACCAATCCTTTTGATGTTACAGTCCTGCAGTACCATTTCATCTCCTTTGCAATTAATATAAGGAACGGTTTGTGAAGTATTTTGCCGACTCACATCAACCCTGAGAAAGAGAGAAGGCACTATTAATTTTCAGTACCATAAACTGTCCATTACAAATAAAGCTCATGTAATGATAGGTAACAAGTCAGTATGGATCTAGGATTGGATTACAGACAGAAAACAAGGAATAGAATAAATGTATCGTTTTCAAGTTGTCAGGCTTGTCAAGTAGAGTAAGGATTAGTGTCTGGGCCTCAGTTATTCACAATTGCATTTATGGGTAGAATTTTTTGGGCGTCTGAGTGAAATGGGCCGTGGCGAGATGACTGATAGAATCACATGAGAAGTCTAGTCAGGCCCATCTCGATTTCAGAGATGAGGGTAATATATCCATGTTTGCTGATAATACAAAGATAGGTTTGTAAAAGGAAGATGCAAAGAGTCTGCAAAAGTAGCTAGAAAAATTAAATGAGTATATAAATATGTAATAGTTTGAATATTAGGTATATAATAGAATGTAACATATATAAGAAAAATATGAAAATAAAATACTTCTTAAAGCAACATGATATAGAGAGGAATTTGGGCGCCCTTATATGCAAACCACAAGCATTTAACATACAGGTTACAGGTAATTTTTTATTCATTTGTGGGACATGGGTGATGCTGACTGGCCGGTATTTATTTCCTGTCCCTGGTTGCCCTTGAGAAGGTGGTGGTAAGCTCCCTTCTTGGATCACTGCATTCCATGTAGACCCACAATGCAGTTAGAGAGGGAATTCCAGGATTTTGATCTGGCACCTGTGAAGTGACAGTGAAGGAATGGAGACATATTTCCAAGTCAGGATGGTGAGTGGCATGGAGGGAAACTTGCCGTTGGTGGTGTTCCCATGTATCTGCTGCCCTTGTCCTTCTCTATAGAAATAATTGTGGGTTTGGTAGGTACTAAATAAGAATCTTTGGTGAATTTCTGCAATGCATCTTGTAGATAGTACACATTGATGCTGCTGGTGTTGGAGCGAGTGGATGTTTGTGGATGTGGTGCCAATCAAGTGGGCTGCTTTATCTAATAACAATTTGGACAAGACCTTTGCTAAATAGCTGATGAATCCAACAAATCATTGCACTGCTATTACATCTGGTCACTGCATTGCTGCTACAGTTCTCACCTTTATTCTTAAACAAGTAGCTACACTTGGATTTAACTGAAACACACCAGTTATAGGGGAAAGTCAGAGGAAATGTAATAAAATAATATAAATTAATATAAGTTACTTGAGGAGAGCATTACAATGCTGGAGAAAGAGGATGTCACAGTCTAGGACAGAATCAATTTAGCTAGAGCTATGGAACATAAAAAATGCATTACCTTGCTTAGTGTAATCTATGAACCACTAACTAATGGAGAGGATTTGATGAACAAATCAGCAGGGAAATTACAGAGAGATACCAACTTTGAAGTGTAGCTCTAATGGAGCCTTTAATTATGCAAAAAGTCTGGGATGTTGGTGGTTTGAGGGGTAGTGAGAGGCAAGTGTTCCTGGATTATGTTCGAGAAAATTTCCTACAGCAGTATGTGCCCAGTCCAATAAGAAATGATGCACTGTTGAACCTGGTTCTTTGGAAATGAAGAAGACCGAGGAGATCAATTATCAGTGGGGAAGTATTGAGAAACTGGTGTTTATTGTATTACAAGGTTCAGGATGATGGTAGAGAATGACATTAGTCAACCAAGAAAAAGAAAAATCTCTTGGAAGAGTGTTGATTTCAATGGGGCAAGAACAGAACTGAGCAGAATAAACTAGAGTGAAAGGTGGCGTGAAACATTTAACTAAGCAATAGGTTACCTTCAAAGATGAGATGTTTCAGTACACTCAAGGTATATTCACTCAAATGGGGAAGGCAGGGCAAACAGGTCACGCCATAAATTCCTCCTCAGTTTTATCGTCATAATTCAGGCAAGATGGATGGGCAGCTCACTTCAGGGCCAAATTTTAACAGCATCAAGAACCATTGATAAATGTGAATCAGAAGCAAGAAGGCAAAATGATTTACAAAAATACTAATTTCAGACCAAATGGAGGCAAGAGCCTCACTTAAACATTTCTAGTTTGTGTTCACTTAGGCAGCTGACAGGGCTATTTAAAAGATGATGCATTGGCCTGTACACCTTCTCAGATTAGGTATGGGCTGCTGCAGAAATGTAAATGCAGAAAGCATGCTCCCAATGAGTAGGGAGTCCAGAATCAGGGGTCACAATGTGAGGATACAGAGAATTCCATTTAGAACTGAGACCAGGAGAAATTTCTTTACCCAGAGAGTGGTGAGTCTGTGGAATTCTCTGTCACAGAAAGTGGGTGAGGGCAAAACATTAAATGTTTTCAAAAATGAGTTAGATCTAGTTCTCAGGGCTAAAGGGATCAAAGAGTATGAGGAAAGTCAGGAACAAGGTACTGTGTTGGATAATCAGCCATGATCATATTGAATGACAGAGCAGACTCAAAGGGCCTAATGTCCTACTCTGCATCCAGTTTCTATGTTTCAAGTTAGGCTATATTAGTGTAGCTTTCATATCTGGAAAGCAGGCACAATGATGGTGAATTTAGATTCCAGTCAATTTTGAATAAGAATTGAATATATCCAATGTTAGACCCATATTTCTGAGATAAGAGCTCTGAGAGTGGGAGAAATGGGCTGTGTCAGTTCTTTTGTGTTGGAGGCAAACATCTGTGTGTAAAGTAACTAACTATGAGCTAGTACTTCACAAAAATTCAACTACCAGGTCTGAAGTATTATTTCTGTAAATGCAAACAACAAACAGATTGATAATGCACATCATTTGACACTCAGCTTCTTATTGACCTTGTTGCTAAAGCTGGTCCACTGAAGCCTAACTGACGGCACACCACCATGGCATCTTTATTGGTCCAATGTTTGGCACATATTCCTCCCCAGTGCCCATTTGACATCATTTTTATTATGCCATCATATTTATTGTTTCCTCCATCCAGGTGGATATAACCTAGGAGTATGAGAGACAGAGAGCAAAAAATGAGCATATCAGTGACTTCAGGCCCAGCTAAGGTAGTTGGCAGCTCCTAACTCTTCAAAAAAAAAGATGGATTCAAAATTATATCATCTGTACTTTGACAAGCCAACAAACAAAAAAGTCCACTAAAATGCCACCTACCTTCTGGAACTTGAAAAGTGCTAAACTGGGCTGAAAATCCCTCTAGTTCCATCGATGAATCAGATCTCATTGTGATGCTCATTATGTTGGAAGAGCCCTGGAGCTGTGGTGGCACTTCAGATCCACAGAACCTGATTCAATTAGTTTGAACAAGAAAAGCAGAACTTTAGCAGCTAATACTTTTCTCATAATTAAACAACAGTACTTAAAAGAAGTTATATCACATATTGTAAACTTCAAATTTTAATATTCATTCTCCAATGTCAAAATTACCGGTTGCAACTTTGTGTTGTTTTTAAAAAAGAATGTTCTGGTGAGGTGGACATCACTGATGATATAATATTTATTACCCATCCTTAATTGCCCTGAAGCCCCTGAGTAACAAGCACGTAACACAGGATTAGAGTTGTATGTAGATCAAACCAGCAGATGACTCCTTGAAAGATATTAGTGAGCCAGTTGTGTTCTTACAGCAATTGAGCATCTTTTATAGAATCAGAGAATTGCTACTGCGTAGAACAAGGCCATTCAACCCACTTTATCCATGCTGGCTCTTGTAAGGAGCTTTTAACAAATGGCCACTTCTCCAGCCTTCCCCAAATCCTTACACATAACTCCCTCTCAGATTTTTAGAAGTGTAAAACAATTACAGCAGAGAAAGAGACAACAAGGTGCAGAGCTGGATGAACACAGCAGGCCAAACAGCATCATAGGAGCAGAAAGGCTGATGTTTCGGGCCTAGACCCTTCATCAGATGAAGGGTCTAGGCCCAAAACGTCAGCCTTTCTGCTCCTATGATGCTGCTTGGCCTGCTGTGTTCATCCAGCCCTGTACCTTGTTATCTCGGATTCTCCAGCATCTGCAGTTCCTACTGTCTCTGAGCCTATTTTCCTAGGATCTGTATCCCTCTGCTCCCTCCCCATTCATGTATCTGTCTAGATACATCTTAAATGACGAGGCATTTAAGTCAAAAAAGTCATATGAAACATTTCTTTCCTGCCATGATTGTCAACCTCAACAAATTCTTTCTTGAGTTCCTCCATGAACAAAGAACAGGAACAAAGAACAATACAGCACAGGAACAGGCCCTTAGGCCCTCCAAGCCTGTGCCGACACATTTTGCGTCAAGGAACCCAACAAAATCTTCTACTGGTTGCCCCTTGGTCAACAATAGTTCGTTTCTGGGCGAGTTTTTCGCTGGACAGTACTCAACCTCCTTCTACTCTCCTTAGTAAGTTAGGGTTAAGGAATGTTGGGACCATAACTATTCATGTTATACAGTAACAATCTAGACAAAGGAATTTAGGTTTTAAATTGTTTTTTGTTTAAATTGAGACTTTTATTGTCGTGTGTCCTCAAGTATAGGAGTACAGTGAAAGTGTATACTGTCATCATACACGGCACCATCTTAGGTACAAAGATAATTAGGTACAAAAAAATATAGGTACAAAATAGTAAAAGAGAGAAACAAAGTTAAAAAGTTACAAGTTAAAAACATGAATTGAGGGCATTGTTGCCAAATTTGCAAATGACACAAAGATAATTAGAGGAACAGGTAGTGTTAAGGAAGGGGTAAAGGCTGCATAAGGGCTTGGGCAGGCTAGGAGAGTGAGTAAAGAAGCTGCTCCTCATGTCGATGCCCTATTGGAAGAAGAAATTCTTTGATGCCAGCAGCAATGCTGCTGAAGGCTCTGCTGTCTCTTTTGGGGAGAAGGAGATAAATAGGTGAATCTGTTCCCTTGTTCCACTGAACCCACCATTCCTTGTCCCAGGCTCCCTGAATCTGCTAGCGATGGGTATCAGGTACATCTTTGTTGCTGCAGATTCCTTTAAATCCAGCTGAGAGTACTGTTTGGGCTTCAGTATAACTTCTTTTGAGAGGACTACACCATCCAATAGTGTCATTTGCAAATTTAGCAACAATGCCCTCAGTTCATGTTTTTAACTGTCAACTTTTTAACTTTGTTTCACTCTTTTACTACTTTGTACCTAAGTACCTTTGTACCTAAGATGGTGCCGTGTATGGTGACATTATATACTTTCCATTGTACTCCTGTCCTTATGTAGGTGAGGACATGTGACAATAAAAGTCTCAATCTAAACATCAAAAAATCTAAAATCTAAATTCATTTGTCCAGATTGTTAGTGTATAACGTGAATAGTTATGGTCCCAATACCGACCCCTATGAAACTTCACTAGTCACTGGCTGCCATTCTGAAAAAGACCCCTTGATCCC